AACGGAAACAGAACACATCTTCCTCGATGTCGGCTGTCTTTTTTGCTGCAAGGCTACTATTCCCATATGTGCTTCAGGTTACATAGGTGTACCACTGGTATATAACCCCGTTTAGGAATTCGTAAGTCAAAAAATTGGATGAAAGTTTTCATCGCTAAGACTAGCTCACCTCTAACTTTCCTCTATCTGCAGTGTCAATATCTCTGCTTAACTGCCCGTTTTGATGTGTGTTCTTGTTCGCATCCTTACCGTCCTTCGGAATATTACCATTTCTGTCCAGCATTGCTACCTCATCGGAAACATCCAGCTCTAGTCCGAACATCACCGGATACTGAAGAGGGCAATAGACAACTTTCCTACTCGTTAAAGATGCCAGTTATCGCTTACTCTTCTCTCAAAGCTTTCCAAGCACCTCTCATGATTCGTGTCAACGAAGCTGTCGGCTCTCGATATGGAGCTTAGCGTAGGAACAATATCTAAATTCAGAAAGTTAAGGCTACTAGAAATTTGAGGATGCTAATATTCAAACTACTGATGTTGATGTGTTGTTAGGACTGACCCACAACAAAACGTTGATGAGCTGATGTACCCAATTTGGCGCTAACCATCGAAAATATCCAATCGACTGATAGCGTACCCGTATCTCTCTGAATCATAACAACGTAAGAAACACGATAGCTTCGATCAGAATTTGATTGTATAAAAAGGTCATGCACTTCTTTCTTCAAAGCCGCTGTTTTGCTTTCTTAAATGATGTAGAACAGTCACGCGAGTTAACGTCACCAAAGCGCTTTAAAAGCATTTTATGAAAAAAAAAACTTTAGTTCAATCTTAGACTAATCTGCTAGCCTTGAGGAGCCGATTGTGTTGCAATCAATCTTGTCAACAAATTAGTAGTTAAAAAGCAACACACATTCTAGGGGTTAGTATTAGGTTGAGGAATAAGTTCGTAGCGTTTTTATATTTTCTTATACTTTCAACAATGTTTTGCTGATCAACAGAAAGTACTAAATTATTTTTCGTTAGAGCATTTTCTGCTCTACAAAACGGTGGTAATCGTCTCTGCGTATTGTGTAATTTTGTCTTTCATTACTTTGGAGGCTTAGAAATGGAGTATCCATACGGTAGAATTAAGCATGACAACTGCTGTTTTTCGCATTTCATTGAGGCCAAAACGCTGCTGAGGCAGCCCGGGAGATTTGCAACGCATGCGGAGAAGATGTTATAGCAGAGTCTACAACACGTATGGTTTGCAAAGTTTCAGAGTGGCGATTTTGACGTAAGACGACCTGCCGAATTTTGGCGAAATGACATCGACAAATTGGTCGAGAGTGGGAAGAGATAGTAAACAGCAACGGCGAATACATTATTAGTTGATTTATTGCAAAACCATTAATTTTTGTTTTAATAAAAGTTTTTGAAAAAATGGCTACGAACTTATTCCTCAACCCAATAGCTAACAATAAGAAGGCTCTCAGCACATGCACTTACATAACCCACACGTTTTCTTAGAGGTTTAACGGTGATCTGAGAACAGCAACTACTCATGAATTAGCGCCTGGT